CAAAAATCCCAAAGTCTATGTCGAACACACATCGCCGGTTTAGTCTTTCGCCGACTGAAAAAGACACCAGAGTCTAAATCTGGGGAATTTACCCCGAAGCCTAAGAAGGGGTAAGTCAACGCCTAACACGCGTTGCCGTTTAGTCTACTCACACGAGAAAAACGAAGCCTATGTATTCAAAGTCATAGCACCAAGTCTAAGTGAATTAATTCTCTTAGCGCAACGTTATGTGCGGAACGGATCCAAAATAATCCGCACACTAGCCCGACTCAAACGGTAGTCGGTAAAGGCTCATCAAACCCGTTGAAGGCTGGGGGTTTGCCAAAAATACCATAAGTATTATGGTTGATTATTCCATATGGAGTAAGACATCATAATAAATGAGACATAATGAATACATCAATTTTCGACGCAAACAAACTGACGACCACAGTGGGAGAACAAGTGATTTGGGGTAAATTGATATATTCATTGCGTCGACAATTGAATACCACTTGTGCTTGATCTTGTTTGTTTTCGACGCAATGAATACCACTGTGGTCACCAGTTTGTTTGCGTCGAAAATTGATGCATTCATTGCGGTATTCATTACAACTTTAGTCGTTTACAATGAAAACAAAAAGGATAGTCTTTTTATAAGACCTTTACACAATGAAAACAAAAGCTACAACTCTCGCCAAAACAAACGCAGAGAGATCATTTATCGGTCTTCTGCTTGCGTGGGTGTCTTTGCCTGTGCCGGGGTTTATCCGTGGACCACCTTAGATCTAGATCCGGTTTATGAAAAATTCGGCAGAGCTTCGTCTTCACCGAGGAAGTATTTGATTTGAAGCGCTGAGATCGACCAAGCGAAATCAAGGCTCTTCTCGAGATTAAGACCAAGCCTAATCTCAAGGGACGGACGGACGGGGTTCAGATCCTTCGGATAGCTCCTTCGATCAAAACTTTGCCTCGATCCTCGTACAAAGGACCCAAGCGATCAACTATCCTCACCTTGAATCGGGACAAATCCATGTTGTCGTGGGGCTCCACCAGAGGTGCGGAACTCGAAGGTATCAACGTAACCGGTGCAAAACGTCTTCTGTCTCGACCCTAGCGCGGGTCAGATTTAAGTGACCGACGGGTTGGAGGGTCGGATTCAAGTGACCCGCGATTTGGAAGGTCGGATCCAAGTGACCCACGATTTGGAAGGTCGGATCCAAGTGACCTGCGATTTGGAAGGTCGGATCCAAGTGACCTGCAAATTGGAAGGTCGGATCCAAGTGACCTGCAAAGTGGAGGGTCGGACCTGCGTTTCTGCGGGTCAGACTGAAGTGACCCACGTTTTTCTATCTTTTTGGCCGCCGTCTTAGACTTTGGCCTCCATACTTGGTGCAGTCTTTGTGGCTTATTTTCCACTCCTTCTTTCTCCAATTTCTTGGCTTCTTGCATAAGAATTTTTGCTTGTGCAAGCAATGCGCGGCGTTTCTGAATCCGCTCTTGAAGAGTCGATCGGGTCCTTTTGACGCGAACCCATTCGTTCTTCGCTGGTTTGAAAGAGGAGGGGCTGTCCACTCTCTGTTGTGATGGTTGGCACCTCCTAGACTTTAGATCCGCTTTATAGCGGATTCCATCAATTGGTTCCAAGGCTTTGGCCAGTTGGCGTGCAAGGCGTTGGTGTCGCCTCTGACGTGCTCTCTTTGATAGAGTGGGCACATCATCAACAGTCGACCCCTTACTCAAGGGGTTCAGATCTGTAGTTTTGACCTCGTCGGATGCCGGCGGGGCGTTGTCAGCCACAAGTGCAGCGGTGGTGGGAAGATCTTCTTCTTGGGCTTCTGCAGCTGAAGTCCAACGGGTCTTCCTAGAATAGGTCTTCCTGCACCTGCGAGGAGAGGCCGATCTGGAGGAGGAGGACAAGTATTCCTCGTACTTCCGCTGGTCGAAATCATATTCGACCTCCGTTTCAACCGGGATCGGGATCCGAGGTTACGACACGTCAGCCTTCGCAGAAAGGCTGTCGGCTCCCACTGTGGTCGCCAGTTTGTTTCCGTCGAAAGTCACCTTAGTCATTGATTTCCACGCAAGCAGAAGACCGATAAACGATCTCTCTGCGTTTGTTTTGGCGAGAGTTGTAACTTTTGTTTTTATTGTGTAAAGGTCTTATAAAAAGACTATCCTTTTTGTTTTCATTGTAAACGACTAAAGTTGTAATGAATACCGTAATGAATATATCAATTTTCGACGCAAACAACCACCTAAAAGACCCATCGATTGATGGATAGAAGTGCCAAACTCCACCTCGGTTTTCTTGTTCATACCAATATGCTCAAAGGACTTCAATTTTCAGGTCAAAGCACTCCTCAACAAACTAATATCCCAACCTCAACTCCTTCTTTCTCGGCCATCTATCTCAAAGCACCAACAAACCAATGTGGAACAAACGAAGAATAGATCCAAACTGATAAAGGATAGATTTTTACCTCCAATTGAAACGCTAACAAGAGCCTCCGAAAGATCTCAGCCCGCACGACGGAAACGAGATCCACAAATAGGAAAAACCCCACATTTATCACCAACTGAAGCCCTAGACGAACTTCCAAAGCGATCTACTCCTCCAATTAGCCCAAGCGTAGCCTAAGCTCTGATACCACTTGTTGTGCTCTGGTACTACTTGTTGTGTACGGAAGCCACTTGTTGTGTGGAACCAAACCAAACACCCATTAGAACAAAACTGTTTTTTTTATAGCGTTGAATGATAGCGTTTATGTTGTAAGTGCTATAGATCGTATGTGCCTTATTTTTTGATAGCGTTTGAAAAATTTTAAATGCTATAAGTACTTGATCGTAATTTTTTTTGTTTTGGTGCGTTGAAAAGTTAAGCGGGAGACTGAAAATTAAAATAGGCCCGCCCCCACAGCTAGCCCTAAATTTTAATCCCCCCCCCAAATTATTTCGATTCCTCTCCTTTAGATCTCTGCAATTCGCTCCCTCCCTCACTCTCTCTCGCCAAAACTAGCCAGCGGTGCCGCCCTCCTCTCATCCTCGTTTGAGCTCTCTCGCCGCCTCCCTCTCTGTCTCGTCACCAAAACCAGGGCCGCCCTCACTTCCTCTCTCGTCGCCAAAACCATTGCCGCCCTCCTCCTTGCATCGTCGTCGGAGCTCTCTCGCCACCTCCTCCTCTCCCCTAAAAACCCTGATTTGAGCTCCTCTGATTCGAGCTCCTCCTCCTCCTTCAGTAGTAGGCCGACCAATCGATTGGACATTATTGTGGTCGCCGCTCAAAGCTCTGTCGCTCCCTCCTTCTCTTCGGTGAAAACCCTAACCCTAATCCCCCTTTCCATCAAAAACCTAATCACCACTTAATTTGGCCTTCTCCTCCTCTTGCAGCTGTTTTCCGGCTGGCTTTGCTTGCCACTCCTCCGGTGCTGCTGCCTTTTATCCTCCTCTACATTGAAAGGTATGTGAGTTGTTTTGGATCAATATCATCAAAAACTATGTGATCTCTATTGCGAATTAACCATTGAAAGGTATGAAAGTTTAGGGTGTTATTAAAGTGCAATTAACCATTTTTGCTTTAAAGAGTTTTAGTCGTTTGCTCGAATTGTTACTAGAGTGATTCGGTCTCATGAATTGCAGAGAAGTTTGAGGGACATCACGGAGCTTTATGGCTGTGAGAGATCTTTGGATGGAGTTGAAAAACACAGAAAGGTCTCAGGGTTAGACTTGATTGGTTCGAAGTGTTTCAAGGCTGCAAATTTGTCTGTCGTCTTCATTGATGACGACATTATGTTTGCTAAAATACTTGAATGGGGTTGGCACAAGTCTGTTGTTCCTACCGTTGGTAGAATCTTGAGGATTGAGCATTTGGCTGAAACAATCTTCAATGTGGTAAGGACATTCATTTTTTCCTCTATATCGAACTTAATTTAGCGTGGGATGCTCGTAAATTTTGATAAACTGGAGGGATTGAAGACTTCATATCCATGCGAAATAATCCACTAGAAATTTGGTCGTAGAAGGGTGTATGTGAAAAAAGGACCCCATTGGATGTGAAGTTCTTATGTAACATTGGATTGATGGCTCTCATGTTCTTTTAATTAAAGGGGTATTATATGCCTTGTATTATGATACAAAATGTAAATACTCAAGTCTTTGGCATTAAATATTGGAGATAGACCAGCTAATTAATATTCTCAACACAGTACACATTTTTTGTGAGTTGACAACTGTGGTGAAAAATGCATTTATTGAGTGATATTATTGGGATTTTATCTCTATTGCGAATTACCTACCTCTTTTATGTGTAAAATACTATGTTACATATGCATCAGAACCATGTCCCGTATGACAAGCAACTACAATTTACAAAAAATATGGTATATGTCAGAGATAGTTGTTTTCTATTGCGAATTACCAGCCTCTTTCTTGTATAAAATGTTATGTTACATACGCATCAGAACCATGTCCCATATCAAAACCAGCTACAAATTGCAAAAAGTATGGTATATGTCAGAAATAGTTGTTTTCTATTGTGAATCACCATCCTCTTTCATGAACAAAATGATATGTTACATGGGCATCAGAACCATGACCCTATGAAAACTAACTACAAATTGTAAAAGTATGGTATAATATGTTACATGGGCATCAGAACCATGACCCTATGAAAACTAACTACAAATTGTAAAAGTATGGTATAAGTAGTTTTTCCCCCCATTCTCTTTGAAGTTGATATGATCTACTCATTTATAGTCCAACTGGAGAGGTGGGCCTGCCATTTAAAGCAGTCAACTGACTTGAACACTTTGGTATGCATGACCGAATCCCCTTATTTGTCCCTTAACCAATTGCCAGATATAGCTCAAACTTCAATTGATGTACATCTATCTTTTGGAGTATTTATGTGTTCTTCAACATTTGGTTTCATGTGAAATTTCTTTCTACAGAAGGCACTATTATTATTTATGATATTGAGAAAATTTTTTGTAACTCAGATTTTCCATCTTACTTCAATTATTATGTCAGTAAGAAGGATGCCGAAGAAGGTTTGCTTGAAGATTTACATGGTACGTGCAAAGAAAGGCATGCAATACCTGGTGCTAGCATATATGCTTGATTCGATAATTTATTATTTTTAAGAGTTTTACCCCTTTTTCATGCATTTCTTTCCTGTTCTTTGATGTAGACTTCTATTTGGGACTAAATTCAATTTGGGTAGGCTATTTCTTGTCGGATAGTAGTGAATGAAAAACCATTACTGACTCTTCTTTTTGGTCGATGAATCAGTGAAATATGAGGCAAAGCCTTTGGTCATATATGCTAGCACCAAGACTGAAGAATCATTTTTTGCTGCATTACAACGAAGTGGTTCGTTGCTCAAATCCTATGCCAAACAAATAGTTTGGTTTTCTTTACTGACTTGCAAACTTCTGCATATGGAGATGAGACCACTGTGGTAAAGCTTATACGAAGTTCCATATTCAGCTATGAACAGGCATGGCACAGGTATGAAGTCTGAATCGAAGTTGACGGAATAATATGTAACAGCTTGCTTAGTGATTTCTTTTTAGATTGTCTATGATGAACTTGGCCATAAGGCAATAAAAGTATGAAGGTTATTGTAATTATCAGTTAATTTCTTTCATTTAATTTATTTTTTCTTATAACTATTTGACTGCTTGTCAGAGTTAAACATGCACGTTCATGCAACCTAAAGATGTTTTAATTGTTAAGGTTATGTTAATTTTGGTCACCATGAATTCAGGTATATAATTAACTTCTGTTGCTGATTGCACTGCATCATTTCTTCCTTTTTTTTATTTAGATTTACATGGTACAAGACACCTGATTGGTGAATACATCGTATGGTTATGTATTTATTGCTTTTTGAAGTACATGATGCTTATGTTGCAAATTTTAGTTTCTACAGCTGGGAAGCCTGTTCGGATCAAGAACAAGAGCTTTATCAACTATTTATTTACATGTAGTTTGAACTTTGCTTTAAGCTTCAACTTACCTATGCAAATTCACACAGGGTAACAAAATTAAGCTTCAACTTACCTATGCAAATTCACACAGGGTAACAAAATTATATGAAGCTTTCACATTTCTGAACTTCTTTCTTACTGTTTATTTAATGCTTTTTTCCTCATCCATAAAACTATATCAGTCTAATATTTGGTTGAAATTTTCAGTTGTGGAGACAAGGACTTGGACTTGAGGCTATCTAACCCCCTGCACCTTCGCTCTGTTTTAGAGGATACAAAGTTCTCTAAATGTAGAGTTGTTCTTTTGCATGCATCTTATCCATTTTCCAGAGAAGCATCATATCTTGCTTCTGTGTACCCCCAGGTCTGTTCTTTCACGAATCAATTTGTCATAAACTTTATGTGCTCAATGATTATTTGCTTATTTACTAGTAGGCCTACCTTGACTTTGGGTTGGCGGTGCCAAAACTTAGTGCATCTCTTTGGACTATAGGAAAGGTTAATATTAGTATCTATATAACTCTCAGTAAACTGAAACAAAACAGAAAAGGAACTCTGCAAGCAAATAGGTAAAAATTAACATGATGCTAGTTTCTTTGCCACAAAGAGGAACCAAATGAATACCGAGCAAACAAAACACACTTTTTAGCATTTAATGTTGTACTGACGATGAGATTATCGCCAAAGAATCGTATGAGAAAAACTATAAGATATCATTTTCATTTTCGATTTTTTTTAACAAGTCCAGGATGTTGATCTCTTGATCAGAGGCTTCATCAGCTTAGCCTCCTCTAGGGAGATCATTCCAAGATGTGAGGGATCCTCTAACATTATTTTTGTAACCAAGTAACCTGCAATGGACCAAGTCTGATACTTTCTTGCCTGTTTGCCAACGAATCGGCCTACTTTGCCATCATAGTATTCTGGCCAGCTGTCCTTCTGAAGCCGTGCCTCGGCTAGGTCAATTGCTCTTCTTGCGATTTGTGGTCGGCTGACTTTGATGCATGCTGCAGTGAGCAGCCACAGGAGGACTGGAGAAAGGGTAGAAAGGAGGAGAATGAAAAAAAATTACTGATTAGTTTATTGAAGGGAGAGTTTTCATAGTTAGCAATGAAATCAGTTTTAGTGTACTTGTATAGAAGACCGTATTTGTTTTTTGGCACATTTGTGTTGACTCTTCTTGTATGCTATAACTTCGTTATGTATCAGTTTGAACCTTTAAATGAAATATTTGCTTTTATGGTTGTCATAATTGAAAGCTATTTCTAGTTCAACCTCAAAGGTTAATAGGTACAACTGAAATGCTATATGAAGTGGAAACAATTGCTGAAATGCTATTAAAAGAAGAAAGACAGCATTCGCTGAAACGCTATTGTAATAACTCAAAGCTATCAAATGTAAGACAATAGCAGCGTTGAAATGCTATGAATGAAAACTAACTAATAGTATTTTTCAACCGCTATGAAAGATATTCGTCATAGTAATATAGAAACGCTATTGAATACCCTTTTATAGCTACATAAAAATTCTATGGTTGGAACCTTTTTGATAGCGTTTGCGAAAGCTCTATGTAAAGCCACAGACCTACTACAGCGGGTTCTGACACAACGCTGATTAAAACGCTATGAAATAATACCATAGCATTTTCGGCCGCTATAGACGATTTCAGGTGGTGTAGTGACCGAGAGAGAATGCAACTCAAATCAAACAATAATGGAACAGACTCAAACATAAAGTTTAACATGGTTCGGAAAGTTACCCATGTCCATAGGGCAAGAAGGAAATGGGGTTTCCACTAATAGAGAAGAAGAGTACAAACTGAGATTACAAAATCACACAAACTCACCAATTAATCTCACCAACAAAGCTCTAATTCTCTTCAAATAAAACTCTAACCAATAGCTCAGAAAATACCTCTTTTCTGTACTACAAATATCCCAAATTCGCTGCTCAATTATCTCTTCTAATCGTTCTATATATATAGAAATCCTAAAACTAAAAACATACTAGGAATTCTAAAACCAAAACAAAACAGATTAAGAATCCTAATAACATGTTACCAAAACAGATTTAGAATCCTGTTACCAAAACAGATTAGGAATCCCAATAACCTATTACCAAAACAAATTAGGAAACATATTAGGAACATGCTATCCAACAAATAGAAGTCCACATGTCCTAAAAACCCAACAAGAGTCCAAGTAGGAATAGACCTCTAATATGATTGGTTGTACAAAGTCTAATGTAAGTAGGACTATTGATCAAAATAAATCAAGCCATAAAAGGAACTCCTAAAGCAATATGGATTTGAGTATTTGAGGCAACCTATAACAAATCTCCACCTTGACTCAACTGCGTAGAAATCATTCACTCCAAAAACTAGCTTACTCCACCTTCTCCAATAGCCCCACAAGGCATCTAAGTGCGGCACGTATTGATCAAGTCTAAGCCCAAGTTGAACTTGCCAATTGAAAGATGTCACCTCAACAAATCAATTGAATTGTCCACACGACGACCGTAACTCTTAGCAAAGTCATCACCTAAAGTACCTCCTGAATAGCTGAAGGACACAAAATTGACAACCAACCATGCATAAGCTATCGTATCTTCATATCTTCACAGTAGTCGAATATCTCGTCTAGACCGATCTCTAGCAATAGTGTATTCCCGCTCTTCTTGCAACTGCTGAGATACTTCATCTACTTGAACGGGATCTGACTATTGAACTCCCGCAGTCTTATCTTACTGAAGAGCTGAATCACGAATTTCTAACTCTACCTTATGTCCTTAGTGCGCGCATTATCATCAACTGAAACCGATGACTATTTTTGGTGGAACATAGCACGCTCTTCCTGCGGTTGCTGAGGTGCTTCATCTACTTGAACGGGATCTAGTTGTAGAACTCCCGTAGTTTTATCCTGTTGAAGAGCTGAATCATAAATTTCTAACTTCACCTTATGTCCTGTAGTGCGCGCCTTATCAACTGAAATTGGTGACTATTTCTGGTGGAACATAGCAGACTCATCAAAAGTAATATCATGGCTGATAATAATTTTAGGAGACTTCAGATCAGGACACCACATTCTAAAGCCTTGAACACCTGATGCATAATCTACGAATATGCATTTCTTCGCTCGTGGCTCAAGTTTCAGTTGACTAACATGCACATACGCAGGGCAATCAAATATCCTAAGATTAGAATAATCTGTAGGCTTATCGGACCAAACCTCCTCTGGAGTTTTAAAACTAATAGCAGTAGATGACGACCGATTCACTAAGTAACAAGCCATATTCACCGCTTCGGCATAGTGTTCATTGCCTAAACCTGCATTGAACATCATACAACGAGCTTTCTCCAATAGGGTTCTGTTCATACGTTTTGCCACTTCATTCTATTGCAACGTGCGAGGGACTGTACGATGTCTAGCGATTCCCTCATTGCAGAACTCATTAAATTCTCCTCTATAAAACTCAAGGTCATTATCAGTTCTAAGCCTCTTAATCAGCCTCCCAGTCTGCTTCTCAATCAAAGACTTTCACTGCTTGAAAGTCACAAACACCTCATATTTATGTCTCAAAAAGTAAATCCAAACCTTTCTGGAGTAGTCATCAATGAAGATCAACAAATATTTGGAATTTCCACCCTCGAGGCAACTTGAGAAGGTCCTCAAATATATGAATATATAATTCAAAGTACCTTTAATTTGATGCACTGTCGTACTGAAGCTGACTCTTTTCTACTTCCTAAAGATGCAATGCTCGCAAAATCTCAATTTTCATGTACTCTATGCACATAAAAGACTCTTCTTGCTCAACTCGGTCAATTCATGCTCACTCATATGACCAAGTCTCATATGCCATAATCCGATAGTATTAGCTCTTGATGTCGATGATGTAACTGCAGACGAACTAATAACGATAGTACCCTATAAAACATACAAGATGTCGATCTTCTTTCCTTTCATAACCACAAAAGAGCCCTTTTATAACCCTAAAAACTCTACCTTCACCCAAAAAATTGCACCCAATGCTATCAAGAGTGCCCATAGTGATGAGATTCTTCCTTAAACCTAAAACATGCCTAACATCAGTCAAAGTCTTGATTACTCCATCATGCATCTTAATACGAATTATGCTTTTTCCAATAGTCTTATATGAGGCGTTATTCCCCATAAGAACAGTTCCACCATCAATAGCTTTATAAGTGGTGAACCAGTCCTGATTAGGACACATATGATAGGAACAACTCGAATCCAAAATCCAATTATCCATGTTCATGTTTATATCATCTGTAACCAACAAAATCACATCTTTAGTAATATCAACTTCAGTGAAATCCACCTTTGATTTTCCTTCATACTCATCTTGTTTATTCTTGTTCTTTAATCTGTAACAATAGGTCTTGATGTGCCCTTTCTTCTTGCAATATCTGTAGGTCAGATTCCTATGCTTCGACTTATATCTATTACTTCCAAAACCCTTTTTTTTATCTTCCTCGAACAAACAAACCATCAGCTTTATCGCCACTTTTACTTGTAGTTAACTCTTTATCGATCTTCTCCTTATTCAACAAGTTCTCTTTGTTGTCCTTGATGTCAATAGAATCTCGACCATAAATCATAGTATCCCTGAAGTGCTTGTAGGAAGGCATCACAAAACACAATAACAATATGACTTGATCTTCATCATTGATCTTAACATCAATCTTATTCAAATCTGTAATCACAGAATTAAATTTACCAATATGAGATTTGATGGGTGTACCCTCCGACATCCGAAGTGTGTACAAACGCTGCTTCAAGAGGAGGTGATTAGTGAGCGACTCCATCAAATATAAATCCTCTAATTTGGACCACAAATCAACGATTGTCTTGTCCGTGAGAACTTCTTGTAAAACTTCATTTGTCAAACATAGGGCTGAGCATGGTTCGGTCCAAACCAAAAAAAACCGACCGAACCGACCCGAACCGATCCAAAAAAATCGGTTTTATGAGTAGGGCGGTTCGGGTCGGTTTGAAAACTTTTCAACCCGAACCGACCAAATATAGTACAATACTACTTATTCTGATCTCAAACCCTACCCGACCCGTCTCCAAAGAGTCAAAGACTCAAACCCTAAACTTATTTTCTGAATCATTATGAGTTGAAAACAATATCATTATATTAATGTTTAATGCTTCATAATCTCATATTTATTGATATCTTTTTTTTCTTTAACACAGTTTGTTGTTTGATAAGAAGTTTGATGATGTTAGAACCGAACAAACCAAACCGAACCGCACCGAACCGATTTGGAACAGTTCGGTTCAGTTTTGAATTATAGGCGGTTCGATTTGGTTGTTCAAATTTTGGTAAAAACCAAACCGAACCGACCGTTTCACACCCCTAGTCAAACATAATTGGATCGCTATGAGAGCTCTATCATCCAACTCGTTCTAATATTCCTCCGTCATAGTAGCTAGTTTCATCGACTTTTCGAATAAAGCCTTCTTCAATCCACTCTGTGTCAACATGGTGATCATCCTAACTTGCCAATGGTTGAAACTGATGTTGCCATTAAACTTCTCACTATCCTACTTCGTAGTGGTTGTCATCATTTTCTCCTCTGATCGATAGCTGAGGGCTCTGATACCAATTTGTTATGAGAAACTCCCCAGGATAAGCTAATATCAATTATATGAAAACACAAAAAATATCAAGAATACACAAACACAAAGATATATGTGGTTCATCTTGTAACCTACGTCCACGGGCGAAGGAGGAGAAAAGCTTTACTAAAAAGTGAGGAATACAAAATAGAGATCTCTCAATAACTCAATCCCAAATAACGCCCCAAGATTCCTGTACAATCTCTCTAAATAAAAGGAACAAAAGAGAAGAATATCAAATAAGCTTCACAAAATAACTCTCTTCTTAATTGGTGCTCTGAAGATTGATGAATCTAATTGACTTGAAAGACTATTCTTATATAGCCTTGAAGATCCTAACTCATTGTTGTCTAAGAAATAAGAGTTCTAATAGGAATAGAAGTCCACATGTCCTAAAAACCCAACAAGAGTCCAAGTAGGAATATATATCTAATATGATTGGTTTTGTAAAGTCTAATGTAAGTAAGACACTCGATCAAAACAAACCAAGCCATAAAAGGAACTCCCAAAGTAATATGGATTTGAGTATTTGAGGCAACCTATAACAGCTATCCTCAACTATTAGAGACTTTGTAAAATAATATTGTAAATGTTTATGAAAATAGTTGTCATATTTTATTTTATTTTTGTTTGTAGGTCCAATTGCAAAATTTATGCGTACTTATTCATAAAATCAATCCTAGAAGAGAAAGATGTTTTGTAGCTCACACCAGATTATTATACGGCATGGGTCATTAGAACAAAGATTGCTGCTCAATTACTCATTAAAGGGAGAGAGCAGAAGAAAATGAATGGTGAATGTGATGACGACGATGGAAATTTTTTTCACGAGGGAAGAATGATAGATATAGTTTGAAGGAGACGTTTAGATGTCATATTGTGAGTTGTTTTGCAAACTTTACAATGTAGCTTGTTTTGATATAATTGTAAACTTTTTTCTTCATATGTTATATTCTAGAGGTGGTTATTAATTATGTTAAGTACATACCTTAATTTGAATATAGTTATAAACTTGTAGTCAATTGTTAAGTAAAGCAATTAGTTGTTAACCTTATGGGTTAATTGTTAATATTATGAGTTAGTTATTAAGCTTATGCATTTGTTGTTAAGCTTTTTTGTCAATTGTTAGGCTTGTGCATTGATTAGTGTTAGTTGTTCAGCTTTTTCATTGGTTGTTAAGGTTATGCATTGGTTGTTAAGCTTATGTATTTGTTGGTTAAGCTTTTTCATTTATTATTAAGTTTATGCATTGGTTGCTAAACTTTTTCATCAGTTGTTAAGCTTATGTGTTGGTTGTTAAGTTTTTCATTAGTTGTTAAACTTATTCATTGTTAAGCTTTTTCATTAATTGTTAAGCTTATGAATTGGTTGTTAAGATCTTTTGTCAGTTGTTAAGTTTATGCCTTGGTTGTTAAGCTTATGTGTTTACTATTAAACTTTTTCATCTAGTAATAGAAAGAGGAGAAGGGATAGAGGAAATAACTAAATAATATTTATTAGTTGTTAATCATTAAAAAACTTAACAATGAACGTATAAGCTTAACAACTAATGCGTAAACTTAACAATTGATGAAAAGCTTAACAACCAGTGCATAAGTTTGACAACTAACAAAAATGCTTAACAACTAAGACATATGCTTAATAACCAATGGAAAAGCTTAATCAATGCATAAGTTTAACAACCAATATATAAGCTTAACAACTGATAAAAAAGCTTAACAACAAACGCATAAGCTTAACAATCAATGCATAAACTTAGCAAGTAACAAAAAAATTAACAACTAATATATAAGCTTAACAAACAACGAAAAAGCTTAACCAACACATAAGCTTAAGAATTAATGCACAAGCTTAACAACTAACTGCTAAACTTAACAATTGACTACAAGTTTATAAGTGTATTCAAATTAAGGTATGTATCTAACATAATAACTACCACTACAATATAACAAATGAAGAAAAATGTTTACAATTATTTTCAAAACAAGCTACACTATGAAGTTTACAAAACAACTCATAATACGATATCTAAACATCTCCTTCGAACTCTATTGGTTCATTGTCAGCTCGTGCAAAAAATTTCCATCATTGTCATGACATTCACCATTCATTTTTTTTTCTGCTCTCTCCCTTTGATGAGTAACTGAGTAGCAATCCCATGTACAATAATCTAGTGTAAGCTACAAAATGTTATTCTCTTCTCGTATTGCTTTTATGAATAAGTACGCGTAAATCTTGCAATTGTACCTACAAACAAAAATAAAATAAAATATGACAGTTATTTTTATAAACTTTTATAGTATTATTTTACAAAGTCTCTAATAGGTAGCTCTTCAAAATTTAACCAATTTACAACTTGAAAATAATTCTCTTTTCCCCATCTTTCTGTTTACACCATCCACCAACATTCACAATGATCCTTACCTCCAGATCCCAAACCCAATAATGGCGGATTTGACATCATACCATAATTGGAAAAGAGAAGGGCAACTGTCCTCTTGATACGGAATTTTTGTTAGCCACTATAGAGAAATTGAACATCACTCTAGTTTGAGAGGGGAAGATAGAGAATTTTTTCAAGAGAGAGAGAAGAATTAATGGCGGAGCGTTTTTGGTTTAATAGAAGTGGGGAAGGGGAGGGGAGAGAGAAGAGATGAGAGAGAGTGGGGCAAAAAAAATCCAAAAAATAAAAAGAGTGGTCGTAAGTATAGTCAAGGGTAATTTTGGGATTTTATATTTTTTTGAGTGGCTATGGGTTGGCATTGTAATAAGGGCGGTCTACAAATAAAAGGTTGATTTTGGGGTAAAGAGATTGTATCTTGGGGGTTAAGCAAATAAATTATTTAATTTTTAGGCTAGAAGTAAATTTTCCCTTTATTTTTTCAAGAGGAAACTTTGGCTTCATTGTGCAAAAGGAGATGTGGCACTCAGCTTGAATTGATTTTCTCATCCAATTCTATCGTTATCTAAAAATGTAATGAAAAAGAACATGCTTATACAATTCATAAAATGTAATGGGAAAGGACATGCGCATGCTTGTGCCATTCATTTTCTTAATACAATTCTGCCATCATCTAAAAATCTGATGAAAAAGGACATATCCTTATCTTTTGGCTTAACAAGGATACGTTATTGTGACAAACAAATCTTACATATCACCTAATTGTGACTTTAAGATATTTAAGAACTACAAGTTTAATTGGATGGAGATGTTTTCAGAATATCCATCAGCGCCAAGGCCTGTCAAATTATGTAGGTGATGATTACTGGCATAATAGCATCATCCTCGTGAGGCATATTAAATATTTTTCTAATAAAAATAATAATGTTTCATACAAGTCTTTAATCTCACAAGTGCAACGTGATAGTTTGACATTTTCTCTATCTATTCATTTACTTTCTCATCTACAATGAGCAAAGATCAGAATTGATAAGAAATTCTTAGCCACTTGAGGCCATAAACCAAATATTGTGGCAATTTCCGCAAAAAATCTTGTAAAGCCAGAGGAAATTTGAACACCGAATTTGCTGTATACATATTATTTTGAAGCATCAACAAAAGGCAAAGCTTTCTCAGAGACGACGAACACATCAATTCTACCAAAAAAAAAAGAAAAAAAAAAAGAGCCTTCAAATACCAACTTAGAACTGCACAACTTCTTAAAACATCCCATTTCCCTTCGAGGAGAAAATTTGATTACGGTGACCAATAGCCACAAGTGATCTAGCCACAACGGGTAACGGGGTAATAATCAGATAACAATATATTTCTGGCCACAATTATTATACAAAACATACCACCAGTACCAAATATACAGCTCTATATTCATATTCTGAAACAAATGATGTATTATTACTGAACTTCATGAAGCCAAAACTACATGAAACTAAAATGTATTTCTCACTTGCAAGGACATTAAAAAAATAAAATATCCCGTGAGATATTTGCACATCAACAAAACTAAATATCTGCTTCAACAGATCGTCGTTCAATCCCCTCGTTCAAAACTTTGCAGAACTCCTTTATTGTCATTGCTGTGTAATTTCTTATTTTTGTTTGCCATTATTATTCCACCTCTCAGCTTCTGGATTGCTTTCCTGAGGTTCTGCATCTCACGTCCTTTTTCTCATTCCCTATAGTTTGTTTTCTCTAGGCTCCTCTATCATGAAGCAGAAAACAAACACAAAATGCAACATCCCACTTACAGATTATGAGAGTGGCAGACATATATCGAAGAAATTATTCTAATTCTCACAATCAGTATTGGACATTTTGGTCAAAGAAAGAAGTAAAGAATGAAGAGATTATAACTATCTCTGGTAAGAACTATGTGAAACAAAAAACTGGTAATCTGGGTGATGAACACCTAGAAGCCTCAGCCAACTATCAGCAGCTTCTAGCAATAAGCTGGTACACTGACTCTTGCTTTCTCCCTTGGGAGTCCACATTGATGCTTTAAACTTGTAGGAAGCCAACCCAAATGTCGGAAGAGAGATCTTGGGGATACTATCAACACCACCATGGCTATAGGTAACAACAGGATCTGGAGCACTACCAGCACCTACTAAAGCAAAAGCAAACTTCAAGTAAGAACATAGCATTAACATGTGATAAAAAAGTAACATCAATAACATTTCATCAAGCCTAAAATGTTTACTAATTCTGTACTTCTCTAAAGTACCACATTTGCAGAATGCATCCAAGAATAGAATAAAAGGGTTTTTAGGTAACCGCCCCTAACCCTGTTTCACGTTATCGCCCTTAATTGCCCTAGTTCCACAAAACCACCCTTATCTACCATTCTGTCAACATATAACTACCCATGCCCTTTTCCATCCAATATCTCCGTTAATATCAAGGAAATGCTGATTATACCCTTTAGCTGAAATTGTTGATTTTGTAGTTTTTGCGGCCTTTTTATTGAGGTCTTACATGAAGGATTACAGCAAAAGCTTGCCTTCTTTGTCATAATAATGTAATTGGTTTTAAGGTGTATGAGTATTTACCTTAATTCATAGCTAATATTTATGCATTATGTTAGTGTTACTTATGATTAGATATGGTTAACCCATTAAATAATTGCTTTTGAGTTGCCAAAGATTGCAGTATCATACCTTGTAAAAAATTTCATTGCCACCGTCTATTCTTCTATTTTTTCCATTATTTTTTTGATTTCACATTAGTCGACAACACGTGTATTAAACATGCAGGTAACTGTCGAAGTATCTTTTGGATGGAAATTTTGATGGAAAAATATATGCGTGGTTATATGTTGATGATAAGGTAGATAGTGGTGTTTTGTGAAGCATCCTCTGAACTAACACATGATGCACCCAAAAGGTTGGTACACAGATAATAATAAATCATATAGAAGCATAATGCAACTTGTAAAAGAGCATTGTAGCTCAAAAGACATTAGAGATCATATTCATCTTGTGGGATTCGTAAGAAACTTTTAATAATGTGAAAGAGAATCATTTAGTTATCTGACGCCCAGGGGTGGATTTAGGTAGTGAGTAGGGTCCATAAACATTTACAAATTGCATATAAGCTCCTCTAATATTTACAGTCCGACCCCCATGAAATTTTGAAAGTGCACCCTAACCCAACATATCTAACAAATAAGTTAAATAGTAAATAGAATTAGCCTATTGGAAAATAAAAGTCCATTTAACTTTTGAACAGTCACTCAAATTGGTATGGGCCCAAACACTAAAAGATCAAAACTACAAGACTAGAAACCCAAAACTACAACACTATAGTTTTATGTTATTATATTTTTATCTTTAGGTAAACAGATGGTTGTTGTCTGCCCCCAATATATATATATATATATATATATATATATTTGGATCCACCACTGCTCATGGTGAAGTTGCATCTCTTCAATGATATTTCCAAGCATATGATAAATACAAACACAATGCATCAAAGAAAAAAATTTGATGGTATTCAAATCCTTAATTGCTACAATAGTAAAAGAGATATTAGGTTAACTATCCCAATTTGTATAGTCAGGAGAATCATTGAATATTTGAATACTCGTACTTAATACCCTCCTTTGACGACACGTCAGTAAGTCTAGAAAACATAAGGAAATTTAAATAAACAAAAGTATCATACAGGTAGAAGCAATCTAGTCTCCAGTTATGTGTGGATATAAACCTATTACGTGACCCCTTATTTGGTTCATTGATTCTCTCAACTGGAGCTGAACAAAAACATGAACCCCTGTTAGCTGAGATATTAAAGGTTGAATCAAGTAATAGAGGTGATTAACTCATTGCATAGAGCGTTGACCAAAGTTTTCATCTCCTCATGAAGACCAAATTGTTCTCACCTAGGAAGAATGGATATGAAAGTGGGATACATATAAGGCAATGCTAATTATGAAACAGGCAAACTTTTAGTAGGACACACCAAAGTAACAACATGACTGCAAATGCATGTTATGCACATGTAAATCACGCGGTTTGCACATGACTAATTCCTGCCTGCTTCATCGCCGCTGGCAAGAAATTGGGCCTTCATGCTTTTAAGGCCAATTAAAAACGACTTAATGACGCTGTAGTATTTAAGAATACTATATTGGTAAGGGAGGTGAAAATAAAACCATTTAACTTTTGAACAGTCACTCAAATTGGTATGGGCCCAAACACTAAAAGATCAAAACTACAAGACTAGAAACCCAAAACTACAACACTATAGTTTTATGTTATTATATTTTTATCTTTAGGTAAACAGATGGTTGTTGTCTGCCCCCAATATATATATATATATATATATATATATATTTGGATCCACCACTGCTCATGGTGAAGTTGCATCTCTTCAATGATATTTCCAAGCATATGATAAATACAAACACAATGCATCAAAGAAAAAAATTTGATGGTATTCAAATCCTTAATTGCTACAATAGTAAAAGAGATATTAGGTTAACTATCCCAATTTGTATAGTCAGGAGAATCATTGAATATTTGAATACTCGTACTTAATACCCTCCTTTGACGACACGTCAGTAAGTCTAGAAAACATAAGGAAATTTAAATAAACAAAAGTATCATACAGGTAGAAGCAATCTAGTCTCCAGTTATGTGTGGATATAAACCTATTACGTGACCCCTTATTTGGTTCATTGATTCTCTCAACTGGAGCTGAACAAAAACATGAACCCCTGTTAGCTGAGATATTAAAGGTTGAATCAAGTAATAGAGGTGATTAACTCATTGCATAGAGCGTTGACCAAAGTTTTCATCTCCTCATGAAGACCAAATTGTTCTCACCTAGGAAGAATGGATATGAAAGTGGGATACATATAAGGCAATGCTAATTATGAAACAGGCAAACTTTTAGTAGGACACACCAAAGTAACAACATGACTGCAAATGCATGTTATGCACATGTAAATCACGCGGTTTGCACATGACTAATTCCTGCCTGCTTCATCGCCGCTGGCAAGAAATTGGGCCTTCATGCTTTTAAGGCCAATTAAAAACGACTTAATGACGCTGTAGTATTTAAGAATACTATATTGGTAAGGGAGGTCTACTAAAAATATCAATCTGGTAATTTAGCCTATTCCAGTAAATGATTAAAAGTTGTTGAAAGTGAGGATGTGCATAGCTAATAAGAGGTTATCGATATTTTGTGAAAGAGTAATTAGAGATAATAGGTATAATTGGGAATTATCAACTTTTGAGGTGGCAAAAGAGGCAATCAAAAGTTGACACCCCAATCCTCTTTTATAAGTAGTACAGATAGATTATTCTGTCCCAAAACTTTCACATTGTAACTGATAATTTGAAATTTTTGTGTATCCTTCTCATATATAAAAGAACCCATCTGAAAGTAAGAACTATCAGGCACCATCAACATAAACAAATAAAAAATAAAGTTAGGATTTTTTAGCTTCTGCACTAATGACAATAGCAAGTCGGTATTTCTCTAGGAAGCCAATAAGGGAACTTGTACCGGTTTGTGCATGAGACTCGTACATCTGATTGAGTCTACAATCAGTACAAATGACTGCTGAATTTCTTTATAAGTATTACATAGTCAAAGCTCACTATCTTCTTGTTTATGGATCAGTAGTTTGGTCATAGCGAATAAATAGATCCACTAACACTTTGATCCCTGAAAAGCATATTGCTGTTTAAGAAAAATGAAAAATTTGTATTGTGTCACTGGCTTTAGCAATTTGAAAGAGTTCCACATATACTTGCATATGTTTTAACTAAATCAATACGAGTGATGAATACTGCCATGGTCTAGCTGAATAAAGGAAGTCCTAAAGAATCTAATTTAGCATCCACTTGTCTTCTATCTAGACTAAACTCTCTCAACTCACACTGCCATTTAATTATAAATAATTACAGATGACAATAGAGGAAAAAAATGTTCTCTTAAGGAATTTTATGCATTCAGGATCATGTTTTCCAACAGCTACAGATAAACTAGATTCAGCATATAAACCTGCCTGTATGTAAGAAGCTTCTTGATAGCATGTAAAATTATCACATTCAAAGTCAATTAACAATTACCATGAAATATAAAAAATAAAAAGTGTTTAAATTCATATTTCACCTATGAAAAATATGTATCCAAATGATGCAAGGATATGCCCAGGCTATAGGCTGTAACCATTGGAATATTTTGCAAAACCTGAGTTTGTATGTGATTAACTTCTTGTAATGCTTTAAATTTCAGTTGCATTTGAAAATTATTATAGCTAATTTTACACCCGCGACCTAAGTAAATATTGTTGAATCGAAGCAGAAAACCAAATTGTCAGAAATTGGTTCAAGCTAAGTTTAAACATTCTTCTGACGAAGAAATATATAATAGAGGACATGAATGCAGGAACTTCACATGGACAAATAAAGTCATGGGTCATGTCTTGTACTTCAAACAGCATGAGTTTACCAATTAGCGACTACATTTAGAATTGGAACCTGAAGTGCGCTTTCTATTTGACTAAAATATTAAATAATTCAAAATCATAAATCATATGAAGTGCATATTTTACGATTTATCATAGTACTCATGAATTCTACTGATATACATAAAGTTATCTATATAAATTCTCTCTCTAAGTAAAATATTTAGAAGAAAGGCAACATATATTCCCAACCTTGATACTTCATACATGAGAAGTGGGATTGTGACACCCTCACAAGCATAAACCAGATGCTATGAGCTTGATAAAGTTCTTTGAAAATTTTTCTTGAATTGAAATGACATGTACTACGACAGAGAATATAGATGTTACCTTTCACTGGTGTAGAAAGTGAATGGAAAGTGAGGAAGCAGGCATCCAAGTCCTTTAATGTTGGTCCAGTTGGAATCCGGTATATAGGGTACCTGTAATTTTCTTAAGTTTGATGCATCCAACACATCCTGGCATGAGGCAAACAAAATAGATAAGATATACCTTGTGCCCATATGTCTTACCATGCTATAGAAATCCAACTGGCTGGTAGTAAATCACAACTCCGAAGGCTTTTTAGTTCAGGGAAGCGACATGTAAGATCTGAAATCTGGAAGGAAGTTACACGTAATAAGTTAGTGTGGTAATAATTTGCTATAATAACAGTTATTTAGATAATCAGAACTTGCCTTATCAGCTAACGGTTCTCTACAGTATGGAGGATCATGTTCAAGATACTCAAAGAGCAAGCAACCTAGAGCATTTCCAGCTTCACCATCATCACTTGAGAATCCATCATGCAAGGCCATGCGACACTCTCTTAAAGATAGCCAATTCATCCAAGGCATGGAGGTAGCTGAGAGATGGTTTCGACTCCATTGCTTTGCTCTGAGACCACCTTCATGTTCATAATCACTACTTCCATCACTACTAGAATCTCTACAACAGTCGCTGTCACTCTCCTCACCAGGTTGTCTGTAGCATGGGGAAAAAATCAGCGCATGGTAAACATTTGCAGAATCAGGAAGGATTCCTTAAAAAAAAGTCAAGATCATGAACTCAAATATATCTCACAAGAGGAACAGAATATCAAGTCAACGCAACAGAAAGAAAGACAACTTATATATTCTAAAGAGTAATTTCAAGTCAACGCAGCAGAAAGAAAGACAACTTATATATTCTAAAGAGTAATTTCAAGTCAACGCAGCAGAAAGAAAGACAACTTATATATTCTAACGAGTAATCTTAGACAAAACTTTTCCTTTTCCATAATTTATGGATTGGATAAAGAAACAGCATAATATAAAACAAAGGGTTCTCAATTGAAAAGGGTTTTCCATGCATCCAATAAAAAGTGACACCATTTTAGGATAAAAGGGGTAGTTCTTGCTAGTCTAGGATACTGCATGGTAGATGCTAGATAAAGAAGATTTAACCAGCATACACACCAACTTTTCCCTCATTATGATCTCCTAGAAACTAATTTTGTAAATATAATGGTCAAATGTTTTTGTGACACAGCAGGATAGGAATTGGCTTCATCCATTAATATGGAAGAACAGAAAAGAAGCCGACTTAAGAGAGAGATCCAATGAAAAGCCTCTGCCTAGTTAGGTGTACGTGTAGGCCTAGGTACCACCTAGGCCGCCCGCCTAGATCCTAGGCGGTACCTAGACTGTCCATCTAGATTTCAGGAGCACTTAGGAAGCGTGGTCTACTTACATGAACTGCACCCTTTAGACTTTGATCGTGATTTCCTCCGTTGTAGCTTCTACATCCTCCAACATCCTCCAAACTCCTCCAGTCCCTAACTATGAACACCTCCCTACCTCCTCTAATCTTTAGCAAAGCATCCTCCACCACCACTTAAACAAAGAAAGAAGTCAGCCTAGGTGCCAATCCGGTGCGTGAGCTTTCCATAATATCGACACTTACTTAATTATTGTACTTCAAAAAATAAAAGAAATAATAAAACCGCCTAGGCGTCTAGGCTTTAGGCATTTGGTTTAATGCCTAGGCTGCCTAGCGCTTTACGTAACCTTGGAGAGAACCATGGAATCTGAAAGGAAATATCGGTGTATTTGCGGGGCCTACATGCTTTATGTATTCTTTTCTTTTTTCCATGATGTAGCCGATAGAGGCTGGAGATATGGTATTGCAATGTAGTTTTGGGATTTCTCACATGTAGTTGCTGTTGCTTGCTAGATTATGCAGTACTCGCTGCTGTTCAATATAAGCGGATAATACATGTCTGCAAATTGTTATTGTTATGCACCATAAATGGGTACATCATTCCTTTCGTGCCAGCGTCTCCCTATCAAACTGCAGTCGATCAGCGCTAACTTGATGAAAACGCAATTAGGCCAGGCATCAAAAACTGCGGCTGCATCATATCAACCTACAGGATGCTGAGCTGATATGTACACGAACGGCAGCCCAAATACCTCTCACTGTTGCACTAAACTAAGACCTATATAGGTCACTGCAAAACCTGTTGACTGAAACAACAACAATGCCCCGAGTCAGGCATATGAAATCTTACACTTCTACTCAATTTTATTATGGGTCATCTCCCCCATTAAGTAAACTATGATTACATCCTTCTTCGTTGTTTCTTTTAAAGTCTCTGCCACGACACTAAAACTTTGAAATTGTGGTGAAGGATGAGATCACACTTTATATTCTAACATGCCCTCACAGGTTGAGCGCCCCAATTCATGGTATGAGACCTAGACTCTCACAACAATAACCTTCTTTTAAAAATCCACTTTAAATTTGTCATCGGTAAAGATTTGAATCAGGGTTACTCTGATACCGAGCAAAGGTCCTCGTTACTACACGAAAACTCCAAAGCTCCAAAGTTTGTGATGATGATTAAGGGTTAAAATTTCATACTAACATTTTCCAACCAAATTCTTTTAGGGCTACCTCTTGTCCTCTTTACCCCATTAACTATAATCTTATTAATTCTCCTAACCAGTACATTTTATGGTCTTCGTTGTACTAAATGAGTTAGTTCACCACTAAGGAACACATCATTCTCAACTAGAGGAAAACCCTGCTAGTTTCTTGTTTACTTAGGTCACTATCTGCAAGCTTATGGCATTTTCGCCCCGTTGAGCACACAAAACCCTCACTCACCAACTGTTAAATCATTCACACCAAAGGAGATATTTTGGCGGTCAAAATCAATCAAGCCCCCCGAAAACCATGTTATGAAGTCTCATGGACTCATCACCAGCAGCTGCGTGCCTCTGCTCATCAAAAAAAAAAAAAAAAGCTAGGATAGTACATGATTGACCTACTGTACGACACTATAGTCAACATTGGTGATTGAGCTGCAAGATTAAGTCGTTATGCTATTCGATCTCTACCAAAATACAAGGACATACTCCTTTGAGCTTGAGGTAGAATGCAGCTGGACATCCATCCGGGTTTAACCCTACTGATTTGCCAAGACCAATTTTCTCATTAGGTAAACAGTCATCATGAATCTCAGCTTAGGTTCATATCTCCAATCATTTCCGTACATATACTCTTACTCTAACCTTAATTGGCTGAAAAGTCAGGCCAACTAGCCCTTAACCCACTGAAGTAAATAAAAAAAAAACACCCATATTAGTTTATAACTACAACTGTGGCTCAAGTTTAACTAAAAGCTCAAATCTAGGGATTTAGGACTGTATTGATACTTTCCCCTAGAAGGAAGTCCTTGTCTCCAAGGCATGGACTTTGCATAGCAACCTTCGGTAATCTTACCTATATCCATCATCACAAAGTCCCACAACATCATGACAGTACCGATACTCAACAGCAAGAGTTGATACCACACAATGATGGATGGCTGCACTATGTGGAGCTATCCTTCTCTGGCTCGCTTTTCAGAACACCAAAAGTTAGAACGAAGAAACATATATTGAATATAATATGCTTATCTCCATTCATCAAAGAGTATTACCCTATAAAAAGTTCATTTTGCCACAACCTCTATTGAACATCCCATCCTCAACGTAACTGACATAGCATGGAGGTATAGATGTACGCTGTTGCTGAAAGCAATAAGCGTAGTTCACCTGAAGTCCATTGTTGATGAAAACCCGAGAAGATGACTCCAAACAAGACCAATTAGGACACTTGTGCTATGTTGGATTCAGTACGAACTTCTTCCAACATATTTTCATCAGATTGTCTTTAATAGGTGACTTCTCAGAGACACAAATAACATCAACAATGGCAACCTTCACCTGGGAATTTAGCCAAGCAGGTTCCTTACGTTACGTATATCACATATATTTTATACTGATGTTTCACAATGAAACTCAGGGGGAGGCAGCTGTTAGGGTATTGTAAGTACGCAGAAGGTAATAGATTAAGCTGGAGTTTAAAATACCAAACCATCATTGCAGAATAATACTAATAATAACAAAGTTCCTCTCAGCATGCTAAAGTTACAATCAGTCGGGTTCTTAACAACTAGAAAAGATTCAAAATTTAAACTTAGAAGCACTAAATAATCAGAAAATTACCTCAAATCGCCGCATAATTGTACACTGGAATCACCATACAGCTGCATACCAGACAAATACGGCGCATAATACTGAACAACACAGTCTCTATCATCAAGAAGCAGAGGAACTCCAGCGCCATAAGCACTCCACTCCACAAAAGACTCCCACAAATCCCCAAGAACAAAGTACGGCCTGTACTCCACATCGCACTCCCTCCACCCCCTCATCCTCGTCTTCAATCAACCAATAAAAACATCATTAATTCAAAAAAAAGATAGGTTCAAATAAAATCACCAAAAATTTTGAAAAAAAGATGAGACCTTTGAGAGGTAATGAGCAGGTACTGATGGAGTAGTGGAATCCAAGAACCGGTCCAAATTGTTGGAAGGAGACGATGAGCTTCGGTTCGGTGAGGTCGAGGGTTTGGTTCGAGAGACGAGAGTTGGGTTTTGAGCTCGAGAGCTGAGATGGTTGTTTGCGTAGCCTCTTCGAGCTCTTGCGGAGTTGTGGAAGCGGTCTTCGCGAGTGAGTTGCAGGCTCGATCCTAGCATTTCTTTTAAAAACCTTGGGGTTTTTTTTTTTTTTTTATTGAAGAAGATGGAAGCAGAAAAAATATGATTTTTCCCCCTTGAGGAGGAGGAAGAAGAAGAAGGGGACAGAGATGGAATTAGGTGAATTGTTAGGGGCGCTTGGATCGTGGACTCGTGCAGCTGGCATTGGCGGCTGGAATTTTTGCGGACGGACGGACGAGAGGATGACACGTGGAGAGGAAGAATATGGACGGGTGTGTGAATATAGTTTGTCGGGAGGTGGGCAGCTATGCTTTCGTTATGAAAAATTCCTCAGGCACCCAAAATATGGAACCAATAGAAAGGACAATTGACGTGTTTCCCTCATATTGGATAATGAGTTGACCATCATTAATGATAGTCAATTCATTATCCAATAGGAGGGAGACACCTCACTTGTCCCCTCTTTTGATCCCATATTTTGCGTCCCTATAGCAAAGCTCTTTTGTTATTTGCCAGTGAGCAAACGGTCAATTTAATTTCTGTAGTTCTACTCATCCAAAATTAAAATTTTAAAACTAATTTAAAAGAGTTTTTTTTTTAAATACCACAACCTTTAGGGGGAAAGTTATGGAGAGTTATTTGATAAATTATCCAACGTTATGGGAGGATCTTCTAATATTTAGCCTAAAGCGTAGGTACGTTTCCTCTACCTCGAGGACCATCAATCGTAAAATTCTAGCCGCCATGGATGTTTAGGACTAAGGGTGTTTATGGACCTCTTAGAGAGATTAAAAAAAGAGTTAATTGTTAATAGACCCTCAGTATTTATATTTGTGTGAATGAACCCCTTGATTGATTTTTTTTTTTTTTACTTTTAAAATCATTCAAAAAGTTCAAGGAGGTAGAGAGATCATCTGTGGTTCTATTCGTAAGGAGAGACTATCAATTGCTAATTTTTAAATTTTTAAAAAATTGAAAAAAGTTCACTAAGATGTATACTCGCAATTGGGCCACTACTAAATGGGGGTGTATTCACTACAAATAAAACTATAAGAGGGTTTTATCCACGACTGAGTGATACTACAGAGATCTATTCACAATTAATCCATATGAAAACTTCACTCTAGTTTGAGAATTACTTGGGAGCCTATTTTAGTGCCTTTTGTTTAGATAGTTAATTTGGGAGGAGAGAAATAAGAGGTTTTCAATGACAAAAAGAAGCATTCTCTTAAAATTTGGCAACATATTTGATCATTTTGTATGTTTTTTTGGTTGAGTCATCTTTCCTGCTCATGCTTGTTTTGCCTGTAGTCGACATGGGAAATTGGAGTTTTACTGTTGCGTGTTCTCACTAAAAGTCCGCCTCGTGCTATATGTTCCATTAAACTCAATGCACTAAGTTTTGTTGAACTTTAAACCCGAAATGTATAGACTACGAAGTGTATAGTTGCATATAATACCGTGTATAGCTACATATTACAAGGTGTGCAGCTACATCATATCTGATATATAATTATATATCTTGGATATATAGCTACATACCCTAGTGTATGTAACTATACATATTGAACTCTATATTTGGGCTTTAACATTTTAAAAAAACTTTGTATTTTGGGTTTATTGGAACAAGCATAACTAGTTGGGTTTTTTTTTTTTTTTTTGTGGTAAATGGGAGTACAACTTCGGTTTTATTGAAGAAAAAAAAATCATTACAAGCCTCTTTTCAATTACGGTGCCGTATTCTGATCTCCTCAAAAGTCTTAGCTAGACATACCAACAAAATGAAATAGATGGCTTGCACAAATCCAATATGCAGTTTTAGCTTACAAAAAAGGCTAAAGTATCCTTAGCTGAATAAACAAGCATCTAACTACCAGTGGGTGGGTCAAGTGGTTAGCAGCCCCACGGTGGAGGAGGTCTCCATATATCCTCGTGCCCTGCTGATCCTTGACCGAATCCTCGGTCACGCGATTACCTGTCCCCTTAGGGGCTGTTTGGTTCCTGTTTTTTGGGTGGTAAAAGTGGAGAAAGCTGTCAAAAATGTCAGCTTTTTGGCAGCTTTCCCCCAAAATCACCTCTTAAAAAGGTGATTTTGGGGGAAAGCTGCCAAAAAGCTAACATTTTTGGCAGCTTTCTCCTTTTTTACCACCCAAAATAACCTATTCAAACAGCCCCTTAGTGAATATGATGAGGTAATGAGGCGAATCCCCTTCTGGATGCAGAGATCAAACCTGAGGCTCAGCGGGGCAGTTGAGTGAGCTAGCCAAGGTTCCCTTATCACAAAAAAAAAAAAAAAAAAAAAAAAAAAAAAAAAAAAAAAAAAAAAAAAAAAAAAAAAAAAAAAAACTAAGCATAAAATCAATCAGGTCATCCTATAGTCCTTTGAATCCAAATATCCTTGGTTGTGTATCTTTTACCATAGAAGTATGGAAGACCAAGTTGCATTACAAGTACATCATGCTTACATGGAAGCCAAATACAGCCATCGTCGAAAATCGTCAATTTAATACAGATTTAAAGCATCTTCATACAGGCTTTTCATTCATGAAGAACTAATACAAGAATCCATCACTTTGCCCATTTGCAATTCGCCAAGCTGTTGAAAAACGACCAGCCCAAAATAAGTATTACATTTTCAAAATTTAATACCGATAAATGTGATTACTATACATATGTGCCGTCATATTCAGGTATTGAGGCATAGCTTCTCCTCTTCTGTTGAATGTAAACACCGAAATCCCACCATTGTTTATGTCAATTGCCCAAAACCTGCACCATCATCATCACAATTTTTACTTGATGTTCAGAGAACTAATTGTACTACAAAAATGTGCCATCACACATTGACCATCTACCAACACCCCCCACCACACAAGCGTTCTCGTTGCGTATATAGTCAATTACTTGATTCTGTTTAACTTGGCACTTGTAGCAGAAACACAGTTCCTCCACCACTATAAAACCTATGAAGTGTGCACACAGAACATATATGGACAGAATAATGAGGTGGGACATTTGACACGGAGTACAGAAAAATGTGTAGAAAGAAAGGACACATGAGCACAGATATATTATGCACATAACAAGAAGTTAAATCTAATAATATGATTTGATTAGGCCATCTTGCAATGCATTTTAACGTGAAAACGAAGTTTCAGAATGGAACGTCTAGGTGTTTCCAACAATATTCATGGAGTGTCGTGCTTTGAAAAATGTCGATGACAAGTAAGGAAACCATAAAGAAGTTTTATACATTATAGTGCAAAACTACTCGACAAGAAAAACTAAACAAAGAAGTCAAACATTTCATTGCATTATCAATATTAAGGTACCTTTCAGGTCTGAGTCCAAGTGCTGTGCAGATGAACACCCTAAGAATTGACTTGTCAATGACAACCAAAATGTTTTCCACCTAATGATAATCCTAAGAAGCAATTTGGAGTTAGTACAACCAATGTAAAATCGTTCAGAGAGTCAAATCAAATGCATAAAGCATAGACAGATAGGACTCAATTACTGGTGTGGATAAAATCTCCCTCCAAGTCTCTCCAGCCCTTACCCATAACTCCCGTAACACTAAAATTTGATGGATCTTCTCTCCATGCAGTATACAACTCTGGATATTTCTTCTTAGCATCCGCTGCCTCCAAATTCTAAGTATGATTACAGAGTCCACCATCAAGAAATAGCCAAACAACGGCAAATGAGTAAGTGGGAAATAACTAGGCCATACCATTAGTCATGTCTTCGAGAAAAAACAGATATGCCTCTTTTAAGGTATCAAAGAAAACCAGAGGTTTTTCCCTGGCGTGCCATATCAATTCTGCAGTTGACTGCATGAAACATCGGGTTCAATATGAATGATGCTATACAAGACAACTTCTGAGCAAACTGCATTACTTTGTATATGAGCTGAGAAATGAGAAGAGTCGTCATGAATGATGAGGTTTGGTAACAAGGACCTGAAACCTTTGCACGTGAAATTAGGCTTGAATAGCAGAGATCAAAGTTTATGCTGATCAAGGCATTCCGGCATTTCTTAGCTTGTTTAGCTCCGACTTCTGTTAATACGGGCAAGTTAGAACTTCCCTGGACAAAGCATGTATCAGTTAAATCACTACTTTGTATCTAGAGAATACAAACTGATAATTGCCTCTATTACTCACAGCTATGCTATTCAGTGTCATATCAACTGTTGAAAGTCAGAAAAATGTCAATGATGATCATATTAACAACTGAGCAATCCGCTTTTCTTGCATAATGTTATGTAATATGTTTGTCCATCTTGCTAGTTGTTATTTCATTCACAATTACTACATACCAATGTTTGATTGTCTTCATCATTGATATGTATTTCCTTTTTATGATTATTACAGAACTAGTGTTTAGACCCGTGCAAAGCACAGTTTCTAAAGATTTTCTGTAAATATTGAACATGTTACCAAAATAAAGTTTTAGTAAGGAAATAAACTAAATATACTTAATCATGATATTTGATATTTAACCACGTGCATAAAACCTACTTTCTTTAAAATATACTTAATCATGATATTTGACCACGTGCATTGCATGTGCATAAAGATTTTTTGGGGGTCATCCATAATTTGGGTGTAGAGGAGAAGGAAAAACCGACGTGGGGGTTACAGGTTGGCATATTTGTAGTATTTGGTTATTTTTAAAAGACGTTGGAGTATTTTTAGGGGAATAAGGAGATACAGGCTGACATATTTGTAGCAGTTGGTTATTTTTTAAAAGACGTGACTCGGCCCATGCTAAGCAAAGGCGCATTTCTTTTTCAATTTTTAATAAAATTGTTTTATTTGGATTTTCAAAATCTTCTTTAATATTGTTAGGTTTATAAATTCGTTTAAAATTTTGCATGGTAGAAATATGATAATAAGGAGTATTCTTTAATATTGTTAGGTTTATAAATTCGTTTAAAATTTTGCATGGTAGAAATATGATAATAAGGAGTACTATATATTGTTATTTAAATTCGTTTAAAATTTTGCATGGTAGAAATATGATAATAAGGAGTACTATATATTGTTATTAGCATCGTATTAAAAAATATAATACATCCATCCATGATAGGTTAGAAAATATAAAGAATTAAAGTA